GTCTAATTTTGTCACAGTTTCATTAAACACTAGAAACAATTTGCTTGCTAAAGTGAAGACCGTTTTTTTCATTTAAAAGTTGATTTTTTTTCATTACTACTTCAAATATTGAAACAAACAGTAGAAATATATTTATGAGTTATAACTACAAAATATTTTTGGAAACAAAATGGTGATACTGTTCTAAGTTAATCAACGTGAAAAGTGCTGAATACAAACGACGTATCTCGTGGATTGGAAATGTTCCATCTGGCTATGAAGACTTACGTACAAACTGTGTCATCTATGAGTATTCAGGACGTTTCCCAGACAGAAGGGTGCATGGATTAACTAAATCTAAGAACAATTTCCAACCCTACATTCGAGCAAAGCCAGCTCTGAAAGTAAAAGCAAAGGCGATGCTAAAAACAGACAGCGCAAAAAATGTACATGACCATCTGAACAACGGCAATGATATCCACGAATTGCCTAGGAACTTGATGCAGAATGCAGAACATGAAATATAGTGAAAATCGTAAAGCTAGAAATGAAAAGGACAATCTACACCTACGAAACATTGCTGATCACATATTAAACATTGAAAATAAAGTTTACTTGGGACATAGCTTCATTAGGTCAGTGATACATTCACCGCCAGGGCCATCCGTTGTACTTTACACGGATGAGCAGATTCAGGACATTAAAAGATTTTGTTGTAAAGAAAACGGATCTATACTTGGTGTTGATAAGACATACAATTTAGGACAATTATTTTTGACTACAACCGTATTTAAAAACTTGTCTGTGGTTAGGTGTGATACAGGCGCACCACCAATATTCTTAGGACCTTCATTTTTACATAGAAAATCTGACTTCGAAACTTTTAATGTATTTTTCTCTAATGTGGCCTCGAAATTCAGTGACGCGGAATTAGATAAATTAATAATAGGATCAGACGACGAGACTGCGTTACGGAAGAGTCTAAAAAGGTCCTTTGTTGGTGCGACCCAAGTAATCTGTACACGGCATCTTCGGCAAAATGTTAAAGAATATCTGATAAAAAAAGTAGGCGTCGACGAAAAAGAACGTAAATTACTTATAAATGAACTGTTCGGAGAAGACGGCGTAGCAAATGCTAGCGACACTATAGTTTATAACCAGAAAATGGATAATTTATGGGGCATCGTAGATACGATGGCCCCTAGGTTCAAGCCGTATCTTCAAACGCGCATTGAGCCTTTGATACGTGAATACGTCAATCTTCCCGGGAGATTAAGACATATCGAAAAACAGTGGTCTAACAATAATGCCGAAAGCATGAATAATATACTTAAAATCGGCACTAACCACAAATTGGAAGATTTAACAACTCTTATTGAGACAATTCAAACGATTGTCAACTCTATGTACAAAGACGTGGAAAAAGCACTTGTAAGTGTAGGCAATTTGAAATTGTCAAGAAATTTTGAACACCATGCATTGTTTAAGTGTTGATGTGTGGGTTAATAAAACCAAAGAGGAACGGAACACACTGTTGAATAAATTCTACCGAGATAAAGGGCGCTCTTATACTGTAACATCAACTAATGGATGGCTTACTTTACCAAACACACCGAGTGCAGGAAAAAAACCGCATCAACGGCGAAGACGCGCAGCTGAAAGAGCAACAAACCATAAGTAATGGACAATGTATATATATATATATATGAATTAAACGTAATATATACTGTTTATTTGTTATGATTGAAAATGATATTTATTTTTTGAGCAATGTTCTCATATGTTTAAAAGAAAATTCATTAAATTCTAAAAATTGTCATATTGAAAAAATAAGATAATACTATGTTCAAATGTGATATTAGAAACTATTGATAATTGATACACAGTCTCTTTGAATATATAAAATAAACATGTAGGTATGTGGTGTTTAAAACTCTACACACTATAGATGGTCAAACTATGAATATATATGTGATATTAGAAACTATTGATAATTGATACACAGTCTCTTTGAATATATAAAATAAACATGTAGGTATGTGGTGTTTAAAACTCTACACACTATAGATGGTCAAACTATGAATATATAGTGACCAAACGTACTTGACCTGCAATAGGGAATGCAGCTTCTTTTCATTTTACATTCATTCTTTTTTCAAACTAGACATATTAAGCAAGAATTTCATAGATTTCAATACATTTTTGCTATTAAAAATATTTTACTTAATGATGAGCATAGTATATCTTTAATATAGCTATAATTCTATGATTTGAAAGAATGTTGTCAAAAATGCTCATTAAATTAATTATTATTTCCTTTACTTTGTTTCCCTTTATAATTTTAAACGTCCATTTTCAGAATACCATTCATATGCCAATAAGATGTTCAGTTACATTGATACATATGCGTATCAGCTTCACTTGTGTATTTGTTTTATGTGGTCATTTCCTTGTTCAATGTTCTATTTTTAAAGATGCTAACAATTTTTTGTTTCCCTATTAGTTATATTGGAAATATACTCAATTGTCGGGATAATGTTAATTATTCTATAAACATCTTTTCAGTTAGACATTCCAGAATACATTAGAAAAATAGTCATTTTTTGAAATATCTATAAGTATATCACAAATCATTATTATACAGTTGATGGTATTGGTAAATAACTTTTTTTAACCTTCCCTTTTTAATCCTATTTGGTTTGAGGATTCTTTGATAATGTGATAATTTTATGCTGATATGACAATCATTTTAATTTCGAAATTAACAAATAAGCCATACAAACACGAACATTGCAAAAGTTGTAGCACACTTTTTTTATTTTGTGCATTTAAAGAACGTCTTTGTAAAATTTATTGTATTATCTAAAGATATATACTTATACATGCTTTGAATTTGTGTTATGTTGTACACTGTAATTGTATCTTACATGCCTTATAATAAATGTTACTATTAAACATGCATACATGTTTTTGTATGTGACTTAATCTTATGTAGTGAAACATGTGACAAGCTAGTTGTAATCTTAGCAATAAGCTGTTAATATATAGTAACATGTTAAATCACCATAGGTCTATATTGTCGGTCTTTAGTTTCGAAATTTTCGAAAGGCTGAGCGATTATGTCGAAATTCAGTAATGTTTCATATCTTAAAAGACCTTAATTTTTTCGATCTGTTGTCGTCAACATGCCCCAGAATAAATCATTATATGAATTTAAGTCCTTACATACGCTCTGTATGGCTTTAGATAAAGTTATTAAATAAATTAATTGTAATAGCTGCACATAATATTTCCCGATACTAGTTGGGCACACGTTTCACGCATAGATATTCAATTTTGCCAGGGAAGGGAAACGATTCGCACACTTGCAGAGTTCTCTCCCTAAATACATTTCTGATTATTATGCACACTGATTTTGTTATCTAAATATTAGTATGAATGCTATCATATATTATTCTTATGTGATTGTCATTCCTCAGGCAGAGAACTTCTCAGTTCGAAATATATATGTATAAATGTATGTACTTCTAGGTTATGAAATCCTGTGTCTCACTTTGCACTGTAAATCGACTATGAATTTGTTGTTACTATTTTATTGTTGAATAAAAGTTATGTTATGTCAAGTTATATTATGTTATGTTATGTATAACTGAGATAAAAATGAAAACATTTCCTCAATGCCGTGTCCTAGAGTATTCCGGTCTCCCCTACTTTTTATTGTTTTTGATAAGAGTTAAGTATGTAAAAAGAATCCTTTAATCCAAGTGATTACCTATTATTATTTATTTTCAATAATTAAGCGTTTTCTTTTACCGAAATAAACACTTTATATTTACTTTACGCCACTTTACTCCTCTTTACTCCACTTTACGCCCCTTTACGCCACTTTACGTATTTTAGGCACACCGATTGTGAATAACAATTTATAATATTACAAAACCTAGCGTAATAGTCCACCCACTTGTATTCGAATAATATTTATTCTTTTCCTAAAATTACAATGTTCATTCACATTGAATAATTATACCTTCCATAATAGTTTGTTTCTATTTCAAAGCAGGCGATTTTTCATTACAACAATTGAAAAAGTAATCGTAAGGGCACGCGTAAATATTTTGCATGCAAATTTTTTGATGATTATAATAATTGATTTATTTTTATTTTCAGATCGAAGCACAATCATAACAGAATAACAAGAATTCTGAAATGTCTGGGTGAACTAGGATTTGAACATTTGAAAAAGAACTTTATTAAGTTTATTTTAGTTGAAATATTAGAGACGAAAACCCTCGTGAACTTGCAGGAAAGTTGCTTCAATTACTGGATTGCAATTTTGAAAGACCCAAGTGAGAGAGCGGAAATGAGCGTCTTTTACGAACAGCTTACTAAAAATATGTCTGATTCTTTGACATAGTGAAAATGTTTTGTTTTTTTAGGAATGTGTTCTTTATTCTTATTAAAATGTAAGTAAATTCTTAACATTTGGTACTTGTTATTTTAATGTCCTTAAATTTATTCTGATGAACTAACCATTAACACTTTGTTTATTGTCAGACATCTAGTTTGTTTTGAAACTTTGTTAGAAATGGAAACAAAAATGATATATCGATTTAGGTGTAAATGCACAATATAAAAATATGAAATATTAATGATTCCGATGATACTTAGAAACTATACTAGTAACAGATATTGATATAAATTATAAATAGTTTAGTCAATGTTTACTTGGGTCACACTTGCATATATAACTCATGTCTAACTATACGCACACATATTATCCACAAGGAGTGTACTGTTCCATTAACAAGATGCTAGGAAAAATTATAAGCAAATGAACATTTTCCAATCTCAAACAAGTTCTTTTTGAAGAAACTAAACTGGTCTGCATAAAGAACACTGAAAGTGATATTATTATGAGAATTCTTTTGAAACATGTTATCCTTTGTCTCTGTATGACTGACACACATGCTTAACTCAAAATTTATATTTCTTATCGGAAAAAGGATCATAAACACAGCAAACTCGTCCATGCCGTATTCAATCAGACAATGTTTAACAGAATGATAAAAATCAAAATATTCACTTCGTCAATTTTATTATGTGTAATATATGCATGTCATTCAGATAACTCTTGTCAAATCTTATCATATCTCTTGTATTTTCATAAGTCTAGATCTTTTAAATGCTTCATCCAACACAGGAAATCCTAGATTTGACAAGAAAATAGGCTGGCGAATTCGTAAAATGTTTTACTTTAAAATTGTATATTGTATGTCTGATAATTTAAACATTAAAGTTGTAAAAGAATATCAAGAAAAAACATATAAACAAGGATTTAGTGCACTATTAAATTCGGATTCAAAATGAAGGTCTGTGCTACGGAACACATGAATAAAAGTTGTCTCTCAAAATAAAACAAAGACGAAAACGCATCGTAGATGAAACGGAAACAAAGCATGCGATCCATGAAGGTTTGAAATGCCAATTCGGTAACAAATGGGTCAAACACTCCATATACCTGAAATGAACAAAGTGTACATTTATAGATTTCTATGGTATTTACTTACTATATTATGTTGCAAAACTATTACCAAAGATGAACGGATAACGAGTTGAAACATTATTTTTCTATTTTATTTATTGTTTATTTTATTTATCTATTTATTTATTTATTCATTGTTTCTTACCTTTTACTAGGTAGCAAGTATTTGACACTCTTACATAAACTGTCCATATGCCTCCCTCAGGGCTAGCAATCCAGGAATTGCAAGTATGGCAAATGTCAGGGATGTCGTCATACCTTTCAAAGAAAAAACACAATGGAAATATTAACTAAGACACTATAAATAATAAAGTTTACTAGTTGAATATTGTATACAATTCTAATCACTTTTTGTCGATTCAATGTTAATTTAACATATTTTAAGTTTAGCAAATCTTACATTTTCGTTATCTATAAAACTACTTAAACAAACACCACGTTTGTGAGACAGATACACATAATAGAGTGTGTTTGAATAGATATTTGACACAATGCATACGCAAGTTAAAATTCTTTAACACAAATCACCTTTTTATTCAACTGTTGAAATGAATTATTCACAACTGATTAAGGTAATTCAAAACTTATGATAATTCCTTAAACCTGATATTTCAAAGAGAGCGCAAACTGTCTGGTCATTGATTTTTAAATCATTTATATCTCATTCACAAAATTTTACAATAAATCTACATTTAAAAACATTTTATAGTATAAATGAACTTATTTCAGTAAGTGTATAGTAAAAACCCATATGCAATTTTGTTTGTTTGCTTGAATGGGTTTTACGTCACACAGTATAGGTCATATGGCGAAGTTCCAGCAAAGACCTCAGGTCACCTTCCGTGTATTATTTCAGGCACAAACGGAACCTAAGTAGACCTACCGACGTTTCGTAAGCTAACTGGACAGCTTCCTCACAGAATCCAAAGTCCCTGTCGGAATTTGAATTATCAGCGGTGAAGGGCAAGTGGTTTGTAGTCAACGACCTTAACAACTTGCCATTGCCGCCCCTCCACCCCACATAAATAAGTAAACATGGACTACATGTATCAAATTAAAACAAAAATATTTAGCACTGGATTTGGTATTTGTAACACAATTGTTGTACACTTTTACTTTAGTTTATAGAGAATAGACCCTAGGACAGAGTTTTTGAAATATTAAGTTGTTCCTTCATATTTATTTATACTCTGTAGATATATTTATTTTGTTCTATCTATGACTTTGCATTATCTTCTTCGGATCCATGAACACCTAGCATATCCAGTAACGCAGAATTGGGCAATTAACGTAAAAGTAACACCGATCTGTGAAACGCTATTGCCAAAACGAATAACACAGTAAGTAAACGAACCAAAATATTTTATTTTAAATGAAATTTAAAGAAATGAAGTAGCGCATATAGTTGCTACGACATAATACTTTAACCAGCATAACACTTTTGTTCAGGAATATGCTTACTTCTTTAGATCATCGTGAGAAAGACAACCTGATTATCATTTTGAAGGTGACTTTTGTGTTTCGTCAAATAAATATGTACATTTAACACATTTAAAGGTTTTTGTATTATTTTTCCATATTCTGTATACCTAAGACAATTGTCAAACTACAAGTGTTGTATAACAATAGAAGGAATCTGGTAAAATAAGATTTAGCTACTTTTAATGAGATAACCCCCGTTACTTCAGTGCTTCATTCACAAATTCGGCGTTACGTCGTAAAATTGTATCAATTACGCTTTATCTGCTAAATTATGTGTACTATGAAAATGTCTCAGGTACAACGAACATAAACAAATCATAAAGTAAAATGTACGTTATTGTATTTAGAGATATCAACGAAACTAAAGATCGCCATCAATATCCTAGTCAGGTCGTCATTTTCAGGAATTATCCTGAAAAATAAACATTTTCATGGAAATATTTTGATCAGGTTTAATGTATTATATCTTGGCATTCGTATGCGCTCAATCATTTCTTTCAATTTGGTGTACAATTAAAATATTGGTCAATTTACTTATCGCAGTGCTCGTTTTAGCCGCTAAATTGCACAATTTTGCGTTACTGTTGCACGATTCCTGCGTTATTTGCACATTCCTGCGTAAAGGGATATATACGGTGAGATAATACTATTATCTTCATGATTATAATTGTTTATGAGGACAGAAAAATAACATAAGAAACCTATTTTAAATGGAAAGAATGACCTTTAAAGGGCCCGAACATAACTTCTAATTTTGCATGAATACAAGTTTAAAGATCCTGTTTGTTGTGATCAAAGTGGTAAACCACACTAAGTGAAATTATATACATGTGGTGTATAATTATGCAAATAAAACAATTTTCAAACATCGAAGGATATGTAAAATATGTACTGCAAATATTTGTACATATTATATGTTTACTAATCATTTAAAAGTATGCATTCATTTCTTATTGTAAAATTTTACTTAAAATTTATAGAACATTTTTATTACCTCTCTTTATTTACATGAAATGTTAAATTCGGTTATATCTTTATAAATACTGCTTTTTGGAACCTTCAATATTGATATATCTTAATTTGAGCATCATTTTTATGATTTAAAACTATAAAATATTTGTGTTACAGGATCTTTACATACCTCCATTATCTGCAACACAAGTGTCAACGTTCATCTTGAAACCAGAACTACATCGGCATGCTTTTGTCTTTTCGTCACATTCAGCATTAGCGCCGCACTCCGTACCTTTTGGTGGCGTGCATTGTTTGCTGTCTAAGGCTTAAAAATAGTTTAATTGTTTTATTATAATAAAACTTTAAATTATAAAATTGGTGATACTCTCAAATGCAAATAAGTCAGTCATGTAAAACAAAATGTTTAATATTTTATCCTTAAATCATTTAAAATATGTTCACCTTTGTTAATGTACAAGTTATAAGTTACTGAAAACCTCATAATACTAGGGTGCATAAGCTGATTTCAGTTCAAATGTTTCCTGCCCTATTGTTTTACTTTAAATTACTTGATGTATCGATTTGTGTAATTTTGCAATTCTTTGCATAATAGCATAAATCATGCAACATATATGGATTAAGATATTAAAAAATCGTATATTAATGTTATCAAATCGTTAATTTTTATACATAAAAAGACATCAAGTATTTACTTCCTATATCTTGACGGTAAAATCATTAAAGCTTATTTGAATTGAAACTTTTTTATTACTTGCAGTACACACGTTGTCTTTTTCTCCAAAGTGTTCAGCACATTCGCATAAATTGTTATTGCACACTGAATGAGTGTCACCAGTACATGCAGAGCTTCCCATACAGTGTCCTCCGATGACTTCATGTAAATATTTAGAAAAATAGTTAGTAGTATCGACAGTGAATGCCAAGACCCTTTTCTGTTCCCTCCTTTAATTTGCTGTTGTTTTTTTTCATTGTACATAATGTAAACTGGCGATTATCTAATTTTTATTAAGGTTAATATCGGCGTCATAAGTTAATCTCTTGAAAATACAATGCATGATTTAATCTGGATACCATCTATAATTCTTGTTTGCAACATCAACAACCAGCAGGTATAACACTGTATGATAAAAACACTCCGATACAAACATTTGTAAAAGATATGTGTTATAATTACACCCAGGCTTTACCAATATGCTTCAGTAAGTTGTATGTATGCCGTCACGTAAAACATAGTCAATACTAACACGCTGTGTTCCCCTACGGTGACAACGTAAGTTTAGTGTAATAGTTATGCTGGTCAATAATGTGGAAATCAAAAATGTAAAGGCCAGATCGGTAACAATTGCTTCATGAGCCATAACAAGATTTAGTCAAGTAAGGTAAGCTACATATTATAAAATCTTGAAATATGACAATAATTGTTATTATTATAATGATAAATTACTTTTCAAACATCTGTCAGCATTGTTATTGTACCCTGATTTACAAGCGCATTTCGATGAAGTACAAACGGAATTTTCTAGCGGGCAATCAGTCGATACCGTTGCATCTGTGCATTGTTTGCCAATCACTAAAACGTAGACAGAATAAAAAATAATACAAATTAAACATAGTTTTACCACCATTCACTAAAATATAGGTCTTTAAGTTTTAATTAAATATTTTGGTTATAGGAAGTATATCTACAGCTGTAGCGAAATGGGCATAAGGAAATCCGGACAGATCGAAAATCGTTGTTTGAATATCATTTTGAGTTACTACAGTACATACACCATGTGGTTAAAAATGCAGTCAATTTGACAATGTTAGAGTGATATTAAAATAGAATAAAGAATTCTCAATGTGAAATGCGAAGGGCATGGTCAACTACTTGGTAGAACAAAAAGCAATAAGCTAAATAAATAGTTTTTTTTGTCTTAACTTAAAGTCTTAGGAAATCTAAAAACGAGAAAAAAAGAAACATGACTATTTAAGCAGCCTCAAAGAATTTTTTCTAAAAAAATGTGAAAAAACATTTTAACATTAATTGTTTTCGTAATTAAACGCGCAAACAGAATTGATGAAAATTAAAAATGTAACTACATGCACAAGTAAATTAAAGAATTGCCCCTTTGATACAAGCATATCATTACATTTTTACCATGTTAAATGATTCGGCAACTTTACAAGTATCATTAACCGCTGAAATGTTACACAAGTGAAATCTTGTTCAAAATCAAACGTTATTTAAACAATTCCCATCATACAATGATGAATAAGTATAAGTACAAGATGAAATATGTGCTAAGTTAAATATATGGTACTAAAAATCGTTAAATTAATCTTCTTAATAACCTTTAATAAAATTACAAATATGAACATTTATCTTAATCTACACATCAAAGTGTTTTTTTACCAAAACCGTTATATAAATATTGCTCTTTGTATAAACACTGTTATATCACAGCTATAATTATCATTATCTAAAATTGTATCATAGACGTGTGAGTTAAATATGCATACATATATCAACAAATCATGTCTTCGTTCGCCAATATGTAAACAACTAAAAAGCGCTTTCCTGTAAATGTATTACAAAAAGTAACGTATTGTTAGACAGTGTTAACATAAACGTGTATAGATAAAAACAAGTAGTTTGTAACGACATCAAAAAGTATTTCGGACACCATGATGTGAATATCATTTTAACGGTTATCAATGTAAAGCTATCCACCTAAAGCTTATATATTAAACATCATAATAAAGAACCGCTATTGTTTATTAAGAAGTGTATGGGGTGATGCTCGATTTAGTTGAGTAAGACATAGTCATTGACAGGCGTAAATAAAGACAAAGTATAATAAGATATATAAGATAAGATAATATGTTTTACTTCAAATAAATATAAAGTCTGCTATTATGCAAATTTTTAGAGAAATTTATATTGTAATTTTCTTTTTTATTACTGTTTAGTCATAGTGGCAATATTAAGATGGTTTAAAAAGATGCAAATGAATTTGTCTTAACGGTACATGTAAAGGTCCATGTAAGTCTGCACATTATCCGAGATTGGAAGTGTCAACAACTATATATGGGCATCTATTTTATTATTATGATGTTGTCATTTTTGTCTTCCTTTTCATTTACTTTGTCTTTTGTGTGGTAATCTAAATATCTATTTCCATATTTTTTTTTTTCATTTTAAAAACTCAAGTGCATATCAACCCATGTACACAAAATATTCTATTCACAGCATTTAAAACTATTCGCAACAAAACCTGTCAAATAAGAAAAAAGCACTAAGATGCAATTGTACTTAACCATGATTTGAACATGTTAATGCATAAATTACTGACTCGGTGCGCTATCAATGCACATGAAAATATGACGTTTTACGTTGTATTGTATTTATTAGGCTGCAGTCCGCCGCATTGTTTTTAATCGTTTATATGTAAACGAAGATTCGAGTTATCATCCTGGGACAATAGTGTAGAAAAATAAATTGATTTACCTTTCGGAATACATGCCCCAGCCTTTGGTTTATATCCTTGTGCACATTGACATTTCAGTGTATCACATGTTAAATGATTTGCACTCAAACAGTTTTGGTTACCAGCGCAAGTATCATTTATACCTGAAATGTTATTTCAATAATTTAGTTACTGATGAAAATTAATAGGGCATATTCTAATCAAAAACATTTCAACAAGCAGAGCACGTTATCATCAAAATTAGTCAGAAGTGAAAATACATAATTTGATAACTGTTACAGTAAAAAACACTTTATTTTCTAAGTAAACTATTAAATACAAGCACAACGAAATATCGTCTACTGCCAAAATGAATTTTATCCAGCAGTGTGTATTTGAAAAACGTTAATACAGCTTTTCTTATATATTTTTCACCTTAACGTAGCATGCCTCCAAATTTGTACTTATTTCCATGAAAAGTTTGAAAATATATTTAAAAGGAAAACATTCTGAAGTGGGCTAAGAAAGTTGTTTACACATTGCATACGCCACTTAAAATCAACAAAAATACAAAAAGCGTTAACATATGCAAATATTCCCTGTAATGGGTTAGTCACGCAGAGGCAATGTGGTGTAAAGTACTGAAAATTCAGTCAATAAGCGCACAGAATATGTAAATTATTACTTGAATTTTGAATCTTTTTACTTTTATTGAAATAGATTTATCTCAAGTTTTTTTTCTTTAATATTGTGGCTCATTTGGATGCATAAATCTTTAATAAGACGGGTGTTTCATCCAGAAACAAATAATAATATTTACTGCTCGTACATGTATAACTCAATAAGCATAAGTTGTTTTCCAGGAGTCACCGATACGATCCTTTTGTGAGCCCACATTTATCAGTGACAATTGAATCCGGACATCTAGTGCAATGGTCGTTTGGCTCTCATCGCTACTTTTTAAATCATGTGGGATAGATGAGTAGTCGCAAACGGTTATTATTGGTAAGTTATTTTATAACGAAAGGCCTGTCCGGTGGATCGATATAACCATACATGTGTTAAGTACGGTGTCCTAATTCGTCCACAAAATGCATCCACTAAATAGGACACCATAGTTACGAACAGAAAATAGCAACTTTCTTTTGAATTTTAATTGTGTCATATTGTTACATTTAAGAAACCTAAAGGTAGTAAGCAAATTACCATTCAGAACGCATGTTTGCTTGTCTGTTTTAAAAAGAGCCTCGCACTTGCATGTCAATGATTTACATGTAGCATTTGTTACACCTGAACATTGTGCTGCAAGCGTGCAGGTTGAACCGAGACCTGGAATTATTCATAGTAAGAAAGTTAACGTATATATATATATATATATATATATATATATATATCATGCAAAACAATGTTTAAAACACATGACACATGGAAATTTCATTATGTTATTTATGAAATAACAGTCACTTAAACATAATAATATAAGAAAATAGGTACTTCCATTTTTGAAAAACAGTTTTTGTAACACTGGTAACCATTAGAGATGCTTGTATAATATTCACAATATCTTATATATTTTCATTTAACACATAAATCTCAATTATACTGTAAGTTAGTCACAAAGCATTTTATTTTATGCTTTTCAGTGGATTACTGATTTATCCGTGAAAATTATATTTGGTAATTTCACAGTGAAAATTATCAAAATATAATTTCACTCTTTTCAATGACGAAACTACTTTTTTAAGATTTTCCCCATGTGGTACCTCAATTTTATTTTTGCTGACAATTCTGACAATGTCAGGCTGTTTAAAGAAAAAGCAAAACTGAAATTGATAAATAACTTAAATGTCAAAAGTAATAAAAAGAAGAAAACTTACTTCTATTCATTCAAATTCATGAAATTCCAATCACCAAATTTCGTTTTTTTGTTTCATTTTGACAGTCTCAAAAATACATTCCTTCCCCATGCAAAACTGCTCTTGATGACATTTGGCATATTAAAGTATCCTACGAGCAATAACTGCCGTATGCTTTATGAAAAATTGAAAGCATTGACAGCCATAACTCGAAGTATAAGTTAAATCAACCCAGCGTTCTTGAGCAGGTTTCCAAGTTTTCCATTTTCCTAGCTCCTTTTCTGAATGTTTTCACATCTGTCAACACTTATTTTTTGTCTGTTACAATCCTCAAATAAGTTTTCTTTCTTTTAAAAATGTGTATGACTAACAAATCCAAATTATATCCCTCTGAATCTTACACAATTATTTTCCTCCCACGAAATACACAACTTTAAAAAATGGCTGCCGCTTACAATTTACAAAGACAGGTCTAATATAAATACGCACTAAGTAACAGAAATATGGATGGATGGTTGGACTTTTTCTCCTACAAGAATTGTTTGTTTTTATTATCAAAACAAGCGATCATTCATATTTTTTTAATAAAATTAATAAATATCACCGTCATTTAATGTTGATTGGCGGACTTATTTTTCAGCTCAAGACTTCTTTTTTTTAATGAGAAATTCCGAATAAATGGGGCTCTCAATGGGGGAAACAGTTTTAATATTAACGATAAAATTATGGAAATTTCGTTTTAACTTGTTTTTAAGCATAAAATAAAAAGAAAATTTGTCTGTTTGTTGTGTAAGATGTAATTTTATTTCATCTCGTGAACTTTAAAAACAGTATTCTCACTCGTGGCTTCGCCACTCGTGAGAATACTGTTTTTAAAGCCCACTCGATGAAATAAAATTTCATCTTACACACAAACAAACAAATATCCTCTATATCTTCTACTTCCGATTTTGAACCATTGGATTTCCAAATAGAGTGCACATGCGTGGGATTTAGGGTCTTTTTGAGATATAACACATTTGCAAAGTGACATGGCATGGACATATTGAAATATACGTCTTATCTAAGGAAAAAGCAGATGAACATAATTTTATATATTAAGCTACTGATTTTGTAAACAGCAAAATGAGAAAGTCTTATATTCAACAGCCATTAATTACCATTTGTTATCATATTGAAGTCATTGGTATCCAAAAAAGAAATGTACTATATTTTAAGATGTTTAGTCAAGATAAAATTATGAAAACAATAATGCAGTGCCAGCTAACAAAAAAATAAGCAGGCAAAGTGCTCTCAGAGCAAAGAAAGATTGTGGTAAATGTAGCAATTTCGTTTTATAAATTATAACCTGCACAGCAAATGTAATCAGGTTGAATAAGTAACACGGCTATCAGCAGACATCTAGTCCAAGGTATGATATTCATAATTTGGTTTTTAGGTGTCTAAAATAAACAAGATAAAACATGTTGCCATGGTAACAAAATCTTTATAATTTTGAATGCATATATATTCGTTCTACACCAAGCACACACAATAAAGAACAGGTCAAGATCTTAATTATTACATTATTAGAGGTTCCATAATCTCATATTATTTTTTCAATGAAATACAAAACAAATAAAAATGCATGCTAGATTTTATATCTAATTTTGATCTTACAATTACAGTACTAAAGATTAAATATCTTCATTATCAAATATTTAGGTACATATGACCGATGTTAAGTCACAAATCATAAGTTATTATCTTCCATAGTGATTTCAATAGATGATCGCTACCTTAGGCACAAGTGTATATACTGATTACATAAATCAGAGAATATAGAATCTGCATATACATGAACAACGATAAAAAAGGCTTGCGCTTTGACGGAAACGGAACATGCAAACTACAACCCATGCCCAAGAACAGGTAACGCATAATAATCGAGCGGACGTTTCTGGGTCCACAGTTTATACTAGTTTTTGAAACTACCCTTTGAATTTGTTTACCAATAAAGCACATTGAAAATTTGTATAAATCCTCAGCATAGAACAATAATTACGGTGTATTAATTTGAATTTTCTTACACTATTGTTCTTTTTTTTTCGAATGTATGCTTGTAAAATAGAAAAATCGTATCTTTGTATGGCATTTTGAAACAAAACGTGTTAGCTTCTTAAACTATTAATCTCATATTAATTAATGCTTTTAAGACTTGTCAGGGGCATTTTACTTTCTGTCTTGTTCATTGTTTTATATCTAAATGGGATGGAATTGACATTAATCTGTATCCTAATATGGGCGATTTCTGGTCGAATGGTCTGAGATCTGAGGTCCCATTAAACATTTTGCTACTGTAACTACGACACAACACTTATATATTTTTCTCTTTAAAGAGAATAAATGTAGCTTCGTTTGAAAATAAATTGTATACATAGACTTTTTTCAAGTAAAAAATCAAATTTTATCTGTGTGACTGATAATGTTTAAGTCGCATTGTATTGTATTTAAATACACACATATTTTCTGATCAATGACATGAACGTGAAACTCTTGATATTTTGTTTAAGCATAAAAAATGTGTTTGATTGTTTATTTGCAAGTATGTGTTCGCTATTTAAAGTCACATAAACATCATTTTACAAAAAAGTGAATCTAAAGTTTGGTTACTTTGATCCATTTTCAACATAAAATACCCAGAATAAAATAATTGATTATTTTAAATTAAAGTGTTTTGTTTCTTGTTTTCTTTATAAGAATTCATAACATTGTAATATACAATTAAATCTATATATAACGTGGATCTGTAGCATCACAAAAATAAATTATAAATTCTTTATCTTAATTTATCAAATATAAACGCCTTTATACCATTTCGTGCTTAACAACTAAAGAATTACAAAGTAGTTTAAGACAAGGTGGTAAATTGAAATGAATAAATGCTAAGTTATATATAAAATTAACTTTTAAAAGTCTATGTCTTAAGCGATGTTTTGCTAGGATATTTTAGTACCTAACATACTCAATATACAAGTTGCTGAGACATAATTATCTTTTTTATTCTACTTGTTAGTTTATGCAATGGAAATAATAAATTCAATATTAGAAATGCAACTGAAATGGCCTTTAAAAAAATTAGAAAATATTTTCTCAGCACGTTTAAAAATCAAGTTAAACTGAATACTTTTCATCGTTAAATTAGACTTTTTAGGAATTAAGAACCTCATATACTTTAAATCTGACTTAACCAACGGTTATTTAGTCTATTTTTTCGTGAGATCCCTTCCCTTTTTTACATATATCCGCTGATAATTAAAAAAAGCAAACAAATCCCTTGGTAATAAGAAAGCAAAAAATAAACAAAAGATATTAGATGAACGAAACACATCTATTTAATGTTACATGCTAAAGATATTTCCGCCACGAAACTACTATGAATTACTCAAAATAAAAAGTCAGTCTCTCACTTTCTTACTGTTGTTTTTGACTTTTCATTTATTTATCCATATTTCCTTTTAAATTGTCTTTTTTAGGATATCAAAACAAAACATTTTCCTAACAAGACTTTGTTTACCGAATAATTAGAATTCACTTTTTAATGAACATTTAACAACATTTTTGTTTAAGTAATTTCCCTTTAATACCTTTTTGTATATTTAAATTTTAAATTGAAAATCCTACGTTATTGACGAATAATTGTTGCTTGCGCACTGTTGAATTAACGCAGACACGATGCTATAAATGGCTATTTTTCATATGAGCATAATGCTTAGTCCGAAATAAAATTAAGTTGATAATGAAAATCTACATTAGAAATATAAATTTAAACTAACCTTTCTGGTTTAAGATGCTCTCTCAACTCATATGCATACATATATAAACAAAAGCTTTCTTATATTGAATCCAATTTCACATGGTACCGATGATAAGCAGAAAGGAATCTAACCAAATATTCTTGTTAAAGCATGTTCAATCCTGTTATAACTACATTTTTTATATTAAAAGGGGCGTGCGTCATAAAAGATCCCCAATGCAAAACCGGGTATTGTTTATCAAATAAAGTTTAAGTGGGCGACCGACCTTGCCAGCTGATAACAAACGGACATCACAGATACAAAATCAGTAAACGGTTATATGCTTTCTTCTTGTAGTATCCATACATAGAATTGAAGAAACTTATTTCATTAAGAAGTTATTTCGATATGGTCGATTGACTGTCAGTTTCTGCATATATTTATTAATGTACATATTACGACTAAAGGAAACGGGAAATATAATAAAAATATTGATACGGGTACACACCAGAATGAAATAAAAAATAAATCAAATAAAAACAACTAAAAATAGAACAAGATCTGTCACGTAAGTGACGAATGCCCCCGAAAAGGTTTCTTAAGCAGGTATTATGAAAAGAAAAGAGAATGAAAGTAACTAATTGCTTAATATTGTTCTTGTGAAATAAAGTGTTATTTATAGCAAACTTAACACATTGAGACAATGGTCTTGGATGCGACAAAACATCTTAATGTGGTAGACATTTATGCCAAATTATTTTAAATCCTCAAATGCATGAACATGTTACAGTTTGAAAACTAATGTGTACCTTCAAACTCTTCTTATGAGCATAAGTACGTTCAAACTATTAGAGTGGCCTTGACCTTGGAGGTAAAGACGTTGGTCTTACACACAACACGTCATCTTGATGCGGTAGACATTTGTGCCCAGTTATTTAAAAATACTTCGATGCATGACAAAGTTATAGTGCGGACAGATATATTGTGTTTACCTGTAATCTTTAATAATGATAGCGTGAAGCTTTAAAATATAAGTGTGACCTTGACCTTTGAAAAGGGATGTGGTTGTTCGACGCGACACAATATTGTCATGTGATAGACATTTGTACATAGTTATTTTAAAATCCCTCAATGCAGGACAAAGTTACAGTCTGGACATGATTGTTGTGTAAGTGGGGACGGACAGACAGACACGAGCCTTAGCAACAACACATAGTCTTGATATGGTAGACATTTGTGCCAAGTTATTTTAAAATCCTTCCATGCATGACAAAGTTACAGTCCGGACATGAATGTGTATCTTCAAACTCTCTCGAGTGAATGAGTGCCTTAAAACTATAAATGTGACCTTTACCTTGAAGGTATGGACAGGTGTCTTGAATGCAACATGTTGTCTAAATGTGGTTGACATTTACGCAAAGTTATTTTAAAATTCTTCAATCATTACTATGCATGACAAAGTTACAGTTCGGACACACATGTGTGAACCTATAAACTCTTATTGTGATAAAGTGAAACTTCAAAATGGTAGTGTGACCTCGGCCTTTGAGGTAGGGACATAATTATTGGACGCGACTCATTGTCTTGATATTCTCGATATATATTCCTTGATATTTTAAAATCCTTCTAGTTACAGCCCGGACACTAATGTGTGTACCAATTAACTCTATTTGTGATAATGTGAAACTTCAAAATATAACAATGCCCTTGACCTTTAAGGTAGGGACGTGGTTCTTGGAAGCGAACCATCACCTTGATGTGGTAGACGTTTGTGCCAAGCTTGGGCATTTTGTTTAAGTTAAATATTTTTATGAACATTTTTCAATCTGTTTTAATACTTGATTCATTTTTGTTTGCAGAAAGATTCGCTCGTAAACTTAAATTTTATATTACTTTAACAATAATATTAAGTTTAGCCACTTTAGGCACTGTACAAACAATTGCAAAAGGCCATAAACAAGATGTCATAAACATCTGCCAAAGGAGTATAATAGATATAAGACTAAAATAAATACATCTTTTCTTTATCATATTTGTATACTTACGTTATTTCCTAGCAACATCATGGTAATGGCTCATTATACTTAAACATAATGATACTCAATCTTATCTTTATAAAACATGATAAACCATTTAAAGAAATTAATTAATTTCATTTAGACCTCCACTTAAAATCTTTTTTAAAAACCACATCTTTAGTGGGGCTATTCAGTAATAATACATAACAATCAAATCTCTTACCAAAGCCGACATTATTATTATCAAAATACTTTTAAAATTATTATTAATGCCCGTTTCCTAGATGCCAAAGGTATTTTATACAAATGAATGATCTGTTAAAAGTTTAAATGTGTAGGACTTGACAAAGTAACCGACGAGTCATAAAGTGAGTTTTCTACACCCTTACACCAATCATTCGAGTTAAACGTCAACGTTGCCTTAAATGTTCTTAATAAATCAAAATGGTTTTGAATTAGCTGCTTAAAATCTGCAAGACTCCGGAAGAGCCAAAAATATGTCAAATTAGTCAAACATGAGAAAAATATACCGGCGTCTTTTTAAAAGTTAAAAAAAATCAAGTAATGATTTACAAGTTATGTCAGCTAGTGACTTATTTTGCAGTATTTATCACCATATTTTTTGCATATAAGCATATCTTGACCTCTGTTTGTTTGTAATACGTGGATTGTTCCGTTTACAATTTGTAAATTCCTGTCTTTGATACTTCACATCCCGTTACTTTTTTTATTTTAAACACATTTTCAAAATGTTCATGAAAAATAGCATGAAGTTGTGGGTATAGTGGGGTGGCAGCCACTACGGCCCTGCTACGTGGCTTAATATATTAAATATTTCTTTTTTTATCTATTTAATGAGGTCATCCTTTTCACCTGTGTTAGTGTACGAAATATCATAATTATATAAAGATTTAGAACTTTTATCAATGTATTAAATTGTGTTGCTTGCACTCTCAAATAGACCAGATATGTTACTATTCTAAAAATATGGGGGGTCGCAAAATTAACGTTAATAAAACAAAAATAATTTGTTTTTGAAACACGTTAACAAGTCAGGGCAAAGAGATTTTTTTATAAATGGAGAGGATATTGAATATGTTAATAAACTCACTAATTTAAGTGTCCGATTTACATATACGGATTATATGTCTGGTGCTGTAAAAGCATCGTACAATCAAGCTCTGAGAGCCTACAAAAGATTAAATTGTACTACCTTATTCGAAAATTAATAGATAAAAAATTAAAACTAAACTTAAACTAGTATGCGATTCCTTGATAACAAAATAATTTAACTGTATGGCTAAGATATAATGGGGTCTGTTCAACTTAAAAGAAGTTGAAAACCTCTTCTTACGTTTATGTAAATACATATATAATTATTAAGGTGTTAAAACAAACTCCAACATTTGCCAGTTATGGTGACTTTGGTTCATCGGTCGATCGAAAAAAAGGTCTTTCAGAGTTTAGTATTTGTTAAATAGAGATTTCTGCAATATTGTAACTAACACAATTTGCTGGGCTTCTAAATTTCATTTACAAAATATTATTTAAATCCCATAGATATCATTTTTTTAATTTGTAGAGTATATGATTTTAATAAACTATGAAGCTACAATGAATGCTGTTACTCGTTTTAGTCTTCTTGATTTGGAAATTGAACAAGGGGCGCTCTGTGAAAATACCTTCGAGCTCTATAGACTAACTAACTGATTCTTGAATATTTATAAATCTTTGATTTAAACTGTTATCTATACATCATTTCAGCTGATGCGTACATGCTCTATAGTTAACGTGAGTCCCTTGTTTGATTCATGATTTCCTGGTGTAAATATTGATTCTGTTTTCATTAATTGTCATTGATAAATGTTCTAAGTATGTTATTAAATTGAATAAATCAAATACATATTTTATATGTTTTGTTTCATTTGTTGTTGTTGTTGATGTTTTTTGTGTGTTTTATTTTTTTCTTTACTTTTGAATTGTTTGTTTGTTTGTTTGTTTGTATGTTTGTTAGTCTGTCTGTCTGTTTTATTGTTATTGTTGTTGTTTATATTTTTTACTAACATGTTATTTTTTTATGGATATCAAACCATCTTTTTTCCAATTTGAAATAAAGAGGTTGCCTTGCCTTCACTCATGAAAAGTTACATTGAAACCCTTAAACTACTAAATGTATTTATGCAAAGTTGATTAAGTCCAAACAATTGAACATGTTCAAATTAGTTTGCGGAAATTACTCCATAGTTTACAAATTTATTGCAAATATTGTAAAGATATATGATAACAAAAAACAATGGAAAATGAATCACACTTAAACAAAAGTGTAATCTGTATCAAAATTTAAGCAGTTTGTAACGTGTGTTCTGTATCAACGTTCTATTTCATCATGCATTTCTAATAAAGAGATAAAAATAAAGGATATTTGTTTATAAAGAAGAACAACTAAAACTGAATGGAAATACTGTTTTGGAAAGAGTTATCATTCTTAATGTGTGTAATATGCACACTCTCCGACGAAAAGAGCTTTATCTAAATCGCAAGTGATCTTAAGTGTGATGGTTTCAAAACATCTGCGGATGTATCAAAATTCAATTTTTGACCAGTTCGTGTTAAATTCCGTTTCAGTCGGTGTTAGGGTACGTTGACGGTAGCTTGCAATTACCACTTCCTCCATGAACAGGCTCAATCAAACTGAAAAGTGTTTATAAACTTATCAAAACCAAACCTGCGACATTTTCAATTTTGCAATGTTGGGCTTTCTTTGAGGATACTCATTTCTCTATTTAATAACAATTTGTTTTTGCGGAACAACATCTGTTTATCAGAAATAGCTCTAGTTTAGTTAATGATGAAGACAGTGCTCCATGAATCATTCCTCAAACCCTAACCCTGTCAGTTTAAATAAACGTCATTCTGGCGCCTTTATCAATGAGTGGTATACTTAGTATGGTGCCATTGCGTTGCTTACAAAATGACGCTGATTTTCCTATACAAATTTTATTAACTGATTACTGTAGCATCATGTGCAAAGAAAACATAAAAATAACTGAAAATATCATCAAGATCGGTTATTAGTGTTGCCCTAACGTCCGATTATTCTTCAAAAACGCTTCTGTTTTCATTTCCCAAAATATTTTAATTTGGCATAAGATTTTATTATTTCTGGAGAGCTAGAGCTATTTGTTTTCCAATTACATGAACCATGAATTTTGTTTCTTTTTGGCAATAAGTACATTTATAATGATTTAGTATTTTACATACTTTGTAAAGAAGTCAAAATACTACTTTGTTTAAATTTTGCTACTTTAGGACAAATTATTTCACATTAAGCGCTACTTTCTTTGGATAATAAGTACTAACAACTATTGAAGCGTTATAAAGTCAATGTTTCCCTGTTTAAAGAAGAAAAAAATATTCGTTTCTGAGGCATATAATATCCCTTTACAAAGTTTTGTAAATTACTGTATTTGAGGTTGTAAATATAACAACCGAATATACACGCAGTCCATTGCCATTTTCTTCTTTGTGTATAGTGACGTGTTAGAATCTTATATATTGTCTTGACTCCTTAGAAACAGAGACAAAATCAAATAAAACAAACCATTATTATAAACAATATTTGAAGACATATACGTAAAAAATGAATAAATAAACGCCAGTAGATTGAAAGCTTTAATGTCTGTACATCTGTTTATCTTTTAATATATTTTTACTTATAAATCTAATCATACTTCTTGTACTTTTATACATCTTCTTGTTTTTCTCACAATCACGTAAGTAACAAGTAATATCAAGTACAGAAAATCATAGATAAAAATAAGTAAATGGTTGGTCTTAATAATCGTGCAATTATTCAACGACAATGTTCGTTTGAAGTTTTAAAATAATAGCAAGTAATTAATATGATATCTGAATAATTTTTCACATTTTCCACTTTGTAGATTTGTAGATAATAATTTTTCGCATATAATTAATACTTTTAGCCCTTTAAAAAAACTTCAACCACTAAATATGTCACTCTTTAAAACAAAATAGTGAATACTACAAATAAGTCTTTCCGAAAAAAATCCGAACCATAAAGTCAGCTGTTGACATTCTGAAAAAAAAGTATTTTAGTTTATGTCATGTTATTTAACTGTACTATATGTTGGCGTTTCGAAAGGTCACCTGTATTGAAATTGAATGATATACTAACAAAACTACCTTCTTGATTTTAATGAAGGGTTACATTTACTTATAACTATTACTCGACTCAATTTTTTATAAGAAAGTCATTGCCGTTCACTAATCAAGACGATAATTTCAAATTTTAAATATCGAGTTTTTTATGTTCATAAGTTGACGATTTTATCAATAAATGAATTTACAGTATGTTTAAAAGTCATCAAATATATTATGTTATTAACACTCATCGATCAAGGCAGGCAGAAAAATTTATACCTTCAGCTAATACTCATTACGTTACCATTTGAATGCCGCATGAATTGCAACCAATACGGGTAGAACAAAGATACCGAGTTTCATTGACAGAGTAGTACCTTGAAATAAATGTTTATATATCATACATTTACACTTAAAATTTTGTACAATATTTAAATGAAAATAATTGAATGTGTTCAAGAGTTTTTAAAAAAAGAGCAAAATATCCAAAGCTTTCATGCACTTTCTTTAAAAGTTAAATCTTCTGAAACAAAAATGATTTGACACAAAGATGTTTTTAAACTTTTGTTTGTTTGGTCTCATGTGTGTGTAAGTGTGCTTTATCTAAGATAACCGAATACTGTTACAGTAATTTATTTCTCATTATCACTTTGTTACGTGTAATTTTCGATATACTTGTTTTGTTAACAATATTTCTTTAGATTCATACTTTCAACTACTTTTTAACTTATTTAGAACTTATTAAGTTTTTTTCAATGTTAAATGTTATTCATACTTCTAAAACACATAATAACTTTCATTGCTTAGCAAATTACATAACTAACTGTACCCGAATTCTTAGCTGTGCAGACATCGACGTTCATTGTGAAACCAGCCGAGCATGTACATTTTCCCTTATCATCACATTCAGCATGGTCTAGTGTGTCACATTCCTTACCATTTGCCGAACACGTCACGGTATTCAACACTGATATTATTTGAGAGAAAAAAGAAAGTCGCTTAATATACATTTCGAGCTAAAACTGATAATATCATAGTCAACACTGTAGAGACGAGATCCATAGAATTACAAATGGTATTTAAAAATACTCTAAAGGGAGCGTGTTGAACAACATGTGTCATAAAGTAGTTTTTCTATATAATCATAATAAATTGATATATTTACATTTTTTGCAGACATTGTCTCTCTCACCATAGTCTGTGCTGCAAGTGCATTTAGAACCTGTGCAGGCTGAATTAGTGGCACCTGGACAGGCAATGTTTCCGGAGCACTGAGTTCCTAGCACTAAATCAAAGTCAAGATAAGATAATGCTTTTAAGCAGTTATATTATTTAAAAAAATCGATTTACCATTCAAGAATAAAGAACTTAGTAAAGTGTTATTACATATAAAGAATCGTAACTATAATATCGTTTACATTTTATGTGTACACAATGTATCGTTTTGTGCAACTATGGATTAAGAAAATGCAGAATTGTCATTTAAATGGTAATGAACAATAAAGTAATGGATACATCTCAAACGGTATTATATGGCTTTTGTGCAACTAATGATATTTATTTCAAATTACTTAATTATTGTGCGGAGTATAAGAGTGTGAAATAAGATATAGATTATGTATACGTATTTTGAAAACGATGACACTAACCTTTAATGCAAGTAATTCCACCATTTGAATCTTCCTTGTAACCGTCCTTACATTTACATTTAAGGTTGGTGGGTGTATCACATACCGCAAACGGGATAGCATTACACTCATTCCCCGAGGCTGAACATACCACTGTAGAAACCTGAGCTATATAACAGAAAAATCAACGATTTATTAAGACTACATTTTTAAGTTATATATATATATATATATATATATATATATATAATTCTTAATTTCACATTAAATGAATATCGTATTTTTATTTTTATACACTATAAAAAGGATCATTAGCAGAGCAGATTATTCGAAAATGAGACACGTGGCTTTCTCGTTCAGAAACATTGTAATTTGTATCCCTGCCAAAAATCAAAAGCAAATATTCAAATGCACACAATGTTCAAAACATTTACCCGTCTCTAGACCAGAACATACCTGAAGCCTGTATACGGATTGTGTTTTTATATTTATGTAAAAGATCAGTAATCTCAGTGATTTTTTGCTCACTATTTATGTATCTTTTTTCTTTATTTTGTAATTCGATAAAAGTGTGTGGAACTGTTTTAACGTTCAGCTCATTTTTTTCCCGAAATTCTACCTTCAAATAACAGCTGGCTTGCTTTTGTAAATGTTAAATTGTTGCCATGAGTGGATATACATGTTCATATCCAGCGGTTAATTATGAGTATGACATTTTCACCCAAAATTTATGAAAGGTCACGTGTGAAGCATTATTTAGATTCATTGTCAAGGAAAGAAGTATACCACCCTTAACTGTTTCGTTATTTCTTAAAGTTTGATCTTATTGAACAAGATACATTTTAGTTCTGGTATGCCCGACAATATTTTGGCGTAAAATTTTATGCATCTATATTTTACACCAGTGGAAGGAAAGTGAAACATATAGGTAGAAATGTTAATCAAAATAGAACAATGTGCAGAGCACAGGTTCGGCTTTTCTCATGTCAAGATCACACTTACTAACTTTGTTTTAATTTTGTGTCCGTTCTGTATCTTTTGAATCGATATAATGAAATTAAAACTTCTTGGTTTTAGTGAAACCATCGGTCAGTATGGCGCCGCACATGGAGTCACTTTTTCATATGGTATGGTATGTGAAAACATATTTCAGATCCATTTTGTAAAATAACAATGTTAAAAGCTAAGAAATTTATCAACCGACATTACCTTTTGAACCTCTGTAAGACTGATATTAGTTATGCATCTGGGGTTAACATTAGCTTGCCCTAGGATCACTTTATTTATATAAACTTATATAGGAAAACGCATTTAGTTCTTATTGTGTAAAACTGCAAAGCCCATAGCTTGCAGATCTCTACAGAATTAAATAAATTATGACCTGTGGGTCGATATTGACCATATCCCGGGAGCCACTTGCCTTATGTAGACAACAGATCTTGTCTTTTTATGCTTCTATTTTTGGCATTTAGCATGGGATAATACACTTTTATAAAAGTTTTATGAATCATGCACTTAGGGTAAAATATGCATAAAACATCAAAGCAAATAGACCAAACAAGAATCAAGCTTTTTTTATTCAGTCAATAGTGTTTGCGTTTAACACGGCATAGAGACATGGGAGGTCCAAAGGAGGCGTACAGCATTGTGTAAATGGTGTATCTTATGTTTATTTATTATACCTTCATAACCTTATTGCTAAATAGCCTTATGTGACGCCACATGACGTTATTTCGTTTATTATATTCGAAATAAATATCACCCGGTATTTTTTTTAATATACAAGGGCGGGTTATCTACATAGACTTAAGAAAACGTAATGATTTAGTTCTAGTTGACTACCCTGGCTGCCCTGCTTACATAAAGGTATTACTGTATTAAAATGTTTTACAAAACTTATATGCTGGTTCGGTTATATAAAAAATAGCATGTGTTTTTTTTTCTAAATGCTAAAGTGCATATTAGTAACTCTGAACTGAAATTGCACCCGCACCTTCGACTCCACCTAGCGATCGGTGTTATGTCTGTTCTTGAGTTGCTAATATGCACTTTCACCCTGAGAGGCACTTGCTATTTTTAAAATGTTACTTGTATAACTTTCCTCTTTCCAAATAGTATGCGTGTTTCTTTTTTAAAAGACATATTGTCACATTATAGTTACGCATTTCCTTTTATCAATAACTACTGTTCAAGGATGTGGTGAAATTTACAAATTATCCATAAAGTTATATTTATTAAAACTAATATGAATCCGTATTTTATAAATGATATACAGAAAACTGTATATTTTTACAATATACGAGGTAAAGTCTCGGGGATTTTTTTCAGATATTTAAACAAAAAAGAAATTCCGTATTTCAGTCATATACGGAGTTATTACACAATGCCCTTATTTCAGTAAAATACGGACTACTTAAAACGAATTTCGTGTATATCAGTAGTGTACGGTTTACCGTGTATTTTGCATTAAGCGGAATATCTAAGAATACGGCCCCATCCATCCTCTTATTTTAAGTTTCCCGTATATTTGCTCGTATATTGATAATATACGGAATCCCGTATATTCCTGTTTATCAATATGTTTTTCGAAATGATTGAGCAAATGGCTTGAAGCTTCCGTATTTGAAGCTACGGACGCGCAACCTATGATAATTAGTAAAAGTGTCAGAATGAAATAAAAAAGACTGCCTTAAATTCTACCGACTTACCAACTTTTTTAATCAACAGATCATTACCAATGTGTTCCAAAGGGTGTTTATATAATTTGCCAATGGTGTATTAGCCCTTCTTCCGGGAGTACTAGACAAATGATAAAAGGGCATAGGGTTTCAATAATCCGGTTGGTTTTTTCTGGGCGAGTCGACCAGGATTCGAAAACTCACTTAATACAGGTTTTTATGTCATCAATTTTGATATTGCCCTACCATTATTACGGAAACTAAAATTTCGTTCTAGTTGCATGTATGTATAAAAGTTTAAAGGACTGAATTGTATTGTGCTTTTTATAGCGATTTTTAATAACCATTGCATTTAATATGTATTTTTGTGTACATTTTTTATGTGATTCTATTACGTTTATTTTTCATTTTATTCATGAATTACTTATTGACAACTGAATCATATTGTATTCTGCTACACTCAATTTCATAAAAAACACAAGAAAACAAGCCATTGACAGAAATGCATAGTATCATAATCTTACCTGTAAATGTCATAGTTTTTACTTGCCTTTTATGCATGTACTCCCATCGTTAGCATCTTCCTTAAAGCCATTATTGCATTTACATTTTAGATTTTGGACGTCACAAGCTGAATTTGTAATAGTATTACACTCAGTCCCTCCGTCACTACACACCTTTTCTGATACTTTGCCTGTTTCGAAATAAAATGTTATCAGTTTTGATTTCTATTAAATGCTGCGGTCGTAAAATAATTGTAATTTGATTACAAAAACAAGATTTAAGATATTTTTTATATTTAATTTCATGATTTTCTGTTATGAAATGAAAACAGAAGATTATTTTAAAGAAACCACATTGCCTCAGAAATGATTTCTTTACTTCATTATAGTTTGTGTCATGTTACAGTTTCAAAAACATTACTCTTTCGCCACAAAAGTTTCTTTCTTTCTCATTCTCCCTTTGGGTAACTGCATCTTATCTCGCTAGTATTAGAGGCAGGGAAGATAAAGTATTGGTTATATTCATATCAACGATTGTAAAGATCTTTCATTATTTAAATCTGTTGTCAAGTTCATCGTTTCTACTAACCTTTTATGCATGTACTCCCATCGTTAGCATCTTCCTTAAAGCCATTATTGCATTTACATTTTTGATTTTGAACGTCACATGCTGAATTTGTGATAGCAGCACACTCAGTCCCTCCGTCATTACACACCGTCTCAGATACTTTGACTGTTCGAAATGATATTTTATTATTTTTGTATTCTATTAAATGCTGCAACCGTAATAGGATTGCAATTAGATTAAAAACAACGCTCAAATTTTCACCCCGTTTCTTATTCTTTTGGTTAATATATTCACATATATCAAAAAAATACAGATTTTATATCGATGAGCATTTACTGATTGCTGTTTGAATCTACTGGAAAGACATAGCTTTTCCCTTAACATAGAACCATATTGAAAAAGTGACCTACTTGTGTAAACGTCATCATCCAATTTTGTCAACACTAGTCATAACGATAATTAAACCTATCATGCCATTTTAATAACTTAAAGATAATAGTACATTATTAAGAAGTAACTTAAGTTAATATATGACTTATGTTTTGAACATCATAATTATTATTATTATATCTTTTCATAAGAACATGTTGGGTTTTTTCTATATAATTTTTTAAACCCTATATTGTAGTCACGATAATTTTAGACATTACAAAATAATTATATAATTATCAAAAGTGTTACCAGCATTGCAAATGTGACCATTAAGTACAAGATATGTCAGTATCACCAATAATCCAAGCCATTGTATGCTACTCATGGTCTCAGTTTTTTGTCTGCAAAAGTGTTTAAGAGTGTTTAAAAAAGAAAAATATATGGTGGATGTGTAAAAATAGGTTTAAAATGCTCATTAAGTACAAACTTTCCATTTTATTTACCAATTATTTGATTGGAGTGTTTCATTTTTCATTGACATTAAAAAAAAATAGTCTAATATAATATATCTTTAATATCAGTTTGAACGATTTATATTGATAAGATTACATTTTGTTCAAAAGTACGCAAGAACAAATTTTTGATTGAAAATCAAACATAAATGTCATAATACAATCCGGAAGTATTTTCCAAAGCCTTGAAAAGTGTGATATATAGATGAAAATTGTCGTTAAGATTACCTATTACGAATGACGATCCAAACGTAGTACAAATTAAAGGAATGAAACATACAACACCCTAATTCCCATATCAACACTTTGATACATAAACGATTTACTATAAAGTATTTCATATATATCTAAATAATAAGCAAAACAGAAAAGTAAAGCCTTAGATTCTCCAGTTTCTCATGGTTGTATATCATATTTTATTATCTCAATCATTTAGACAAATACAGTGATTGATATTTTCAACTGTTTTTCAACACCAGCGGTAATTAAATTAATACATAGATTTATCTATGATATAATAACAGTGCGATAATGCAAATTTAAAACACGTTTATGTATGCAAAGGTGAAATCAACTGTTCGAACGAAATTAAAAATGCCTTCTTCGAACCACAAACTATTTCGCATTGATAAAATACACCTTTAACATCACCTAGAAAGAATTACATGTTATACAAAAGTTTAAATGCACGTTTTTCTCGAGCTTTCTAAGCCTTTTGATAAAAACCAAGCTATAAAACCCAGAAATTATTGTTAAAGCTACTATCCCACACAAAACGGTTATAAAACCATCAATGTTTATGATTTTAGGCAATGTTAACAAAAAAGTTAAAAGAAAAAAAAAAAAAACAGTTTGAAATTAAAATAGTATAAATGTACGAGCCTTTGGTGGAATTTTATCTTTCGATGACATTTTATAAATAAATAAATAAATAAATAAATAAATAAATAATAAAAACCACGCTCAAACTACAATGTGTTGGATAGTAATGTGTTGGATAGTAGCTTTGAATGAAAAGCAGCAATCTAAAACTTCACATATCACTAGATAAAATATGCCTACGAGTATAAGTAAAGGATTGCTTTCCTCAAAATTACTTTAATACTATTAATAGAACGATCAAAACCCTGCATAATAAGCAAACATTTTATGTCTCAAAGTTATAGACAGAGTAAATTAAATAAAGGCCTTTGTCCTTTCCGTCGCAACGATAGAAGTGAATACATCTTACCGTCCAACGAAATCTAAATTGCCGATGTCACTTTTATCTTCATATGCTTATAGGATATACTTTATATGAAGTCTATTCACACTATATATTTACCTATCAATTTTATACCGGATGAACTATTTTATACGTAAGGTATTTAATGCGCGAAAAAAACACTTAATCAAATACATTTAACTAAATATAAACAACGTTCAAATTTGAATATTTAAAATACTGAACAATTTGTTATTTCAAAACAAATCCTAAATTATATTGTATTTAATATATTTCTTTATTTTATATTTTACTTGGTTACAACGTTACATTTCCCATTATTTCCTCATAAAAATACACACGTTTCTTTTATGATATCTCTAACTTTATGTAAACATGAAAACTGTAAACTTACCTTTTCTCATGCGCGGTTCACGGCAAGTAACTATGCTCATTTGTACAGAAAAACACACTTTTATAGTGTATCTAATGCCTTCTAATAGCAACACGAATAAACAAAACATGTAAATCGTCAATTTGTTTAAGATATGCCTTATAAGAAATGCTGATCCGCCCATTTGCTGTCACGTGTATACTTGGGTTTGCAGTGGGCATTATTATATCTGTACAAACAAACACGTTTACAGTGTCTACTATCTTAAATTTTGATGTTCATTAATAAAAGGTGATATCGTAAAAGGATTAAAGCTTAAGATTCGAATGTGTAAAAACTTAAATAAATCATGCGACTAGTGAGCAATTACTTTTTGAGTATAGTACATTTTTATTGATAACAAAGAAATATTAATTTTCAAGGTCAGACCTTTTTAAATTATGATGACAATAAATTGAATCAAATTACAACGTTTCAAAATAAGTTAGCCAATGAAAGGTTGTTTAAAATTGAACATAGTTTGGGGACCTTTGTGTTGAAAATGTGTTAGAGTTAAATCGTATACGTATACACGCACAGTGCGTTAACTGTAGCACAAGTGTTGCCCGCTCTCAAGAGCACCCCCATTGATTGGCTTTTTATATATATTTAACATGTAAATTTCAATTTATTTACAAAGAAAACATACTCTGTTAGTATTGCCGGAATAGATTGTTATTTATTATGAAGGACAAGTAGCATGTTTCTTCTGAGATGTTTATTATTTCAGGTTCCGTTTCGAATAGTGTAAAACCTTCACGATAATATAAACTTATAACTATGATCTGCGAACTTAATGTGTTGAGAAATTAAAATAAAAATAATGATACTATAATTTCTAGATAATTTCTTAAATTGCATTAATGGACATTTAAATATTTTACCGATAACGCAATTTCAACATGTTTTGTTTTTCATTCAGGTCGCTTTTTGACCGGATGGTCCATGCTGCTTTATCTGTTTAAAGTAAAAGGCGTCTGGCTCATGTAAGGAGCTTAAAATGACAAATGACCAATAAATAAGCTTATAGCTTGAAGCACAATCGAACTAAAATAAATTTGTATAAACTGAACGAAAATGACTAATTAAAATCGTTCCATTATTCATCCCTGTGAAATTTACAAGAAGTCAACCAAAACTTACACTGCCTCTGGCTGACTAATATTGTTAGTTTACCCTAACAAGCGAGGTTTTATACAAGCGTAAACAACCTGCGAAAGAACGATGTATCATCATAGTTGTGCGCTGCATAGGTTTAACTTACTGGTGCACTTAAAAATAGCTTTACGACACGGATATTTAATTACGTCCGTACCAGTTCTCGTTTTATACTTGAGACAAGACGGGTACACTTCAGTGTTGCTGAATGGAAAGCTAACATGTTTTTCTTTTTATTGGGGATATGGGTATTGGTTAGATATGGTGACGGGTCAGATGCCTTTGATGTCTTATCAACAAAATAAAAAAAAAAATTTGAAGGCAGTACTACGTCCTTACAGCACTATCAAAATCATCTCAAAATATTTGCAAATTCCAATATATTTTTTTCAAAATAAACATATTCACAGACAGGATAAAGTTGCTAAACGCACTCAGTTATACAATGTATCGTTTTCAGCATCCTCCTTAGAATAATCATGGAATATACGGAGATAAGAAATAATAAACAATAAATGTTAAGCTGATGTATGAGAATGATTTCATGCACAGTGTACTTTAACTTTCATGGAGCAGCGCAAACCAAAACGTGTCATTCTGCAAAAACTCATGTGTCCTATTTAAAATCATATAAGCCTCGTCTGCTTCGAAAGTTCTCTGGAACTTTATAACTTTTAACAAATACCATAAACTTCTTAAATGCGATAAGCATAATCATGTTTTTAAAAAACAAAACAAATAATTGATATCATTATAAGTTTAAATGTTGTTTTAAAAAAACATTCATACAACTTTCTATTAAAAGCTATTTCATTGTTTAGCAGTAGATGACATCATATACCTACACAATATTGATCATATGATTTACAAAAATCCTTTAAAGCAATTATTTAATGTGGACATTGTACTAAAAACAACTACATTATTTATATATTTAGTAAACTAGATGATTCTGTTAAAGTAAGCCTATATTTTGAGACGATTTGTAATTCTTCATAAAGTAGTTAAATTGGTTTCGTTAAACATTAAAATTGATTCAATTAAAGTCACACTCAATTTTTTTATAAGCAAACTATTCCTGACTTGATGTTTATCTGTTAACTATGTCAAAACTTGTACGTTCAAAGAGATCTACAAAGTTATCTCAATCATCAACATCACGAAGTGTGAAAGTTAAATAAGTCTATTTAAAGACAGAAATCTTAGAATGTTAATTGAAAAGTTTAAATCAAGTCAGTAACTTTTTGAAAATGCAACTTCGTTGCAAACTTAAAATTTATTTAGCCAAAAGTTGTTTGACTGCGAAAGATTAAATCTTCATATCCTACGTTATTTGTAATGCAGACTGATTGTCATGCAGTCAACTGTTAGTCATAATTATAATACTTAAGAATACATAATAAAATGTTTAATGACAATGTTATGTAGTCAACTGTTAGCCAATATATAATACTTAAGAATACTTAATAAAATATTTTATGAAAATGTTATGTCCATAATATAATACTTAAGAATAGATAATAAACTATTTTATGACACTGTTATGTAGTCAACTGTTAGTCATAATATAAAACTTAAGAATACATAATAAAATATTTTATGACAATGAATCTGTTGCAAACTTTTCATAAAATGTTATTCAATTATTCAATCAAGAATTCAGATTGAAAACTAAAATGCTATTCTCATTAAAAAAAAAATTTGACAGTGTATCTGTTGCAAAATTTTGAAATTCTTTTATTCAATTGTAGATTGAAAACTAAAATGCTGTTCTCATTTTTACCTATTTCACGGTCACCGTGTCATAAAACAATATGTTGAAAAAGAGCAAACATTTTAGGAAAAGACTCTCTTTTCCCTATGAATACCTACGCTTATAATTAAACCTTTACTCCATTTTAGTTAATAATTGCCCTTTTCTTTTCCACGCTTGTCTGGCCTCCCCATTTGATGCTCATTTGATGATTTTGCTATTGGACATTGTTAAGCTGCATTTAGAAAACCTTGTGTGATTTCAATTTTTTAAATTTTAATAAAGTATTTTCAAAGTGTTAAATTATCAAATGTTAAAGATAAGCCTTTAGCGATTTTAGA